ACGAAAACTGAAATTGAAATACAATATGTGATATAAGTGATTTGTTCAGCTAGTGAAGGACAGAGAGGACGGAGTAGGTTTATAGTTTTGAAGAATGCACTTCGACATTAGTCACAAAATTCTCTAAAGAAGAATATTTGGGGTAAAATCCGACCTCTGTCCTTTCGGCTACCACTCAAATTATTTATTTTTCATATGGTTATATAAGTTGATTTGGCTTCTAGTGATACCCAAAATTTTAATTAATTCGATAAAGTTAAATATCTGATTAAACGAATATGATTAATTGTCAACAATGCTAACTTGCGGTCATATCCAACCATGGGAAGGGCTATTGAAGTAAATCCAGACAGAAAGCCAAAAGTGAGGCCCGAAGACGGTTGGATGTCGACACTGACAAATTTCTGACAACTCCTGCAACCAAGCTATCTTCAAATGTAATGCCCTGTATTCGTTTGGATCTTGTCAGTACGGCAGAGAGGTGGGGCTTGTAGCACACGGCCTTTGTATACCATCACCCAGTCTCACTCCCAAAGGAATGAATTTTGACCAAACAGGACGCTACCTTCATCTTGCGATATAAACGGACGCCCCCTATAAAATTAGAGCATTTTAGGTTCCATTTTAAAGAGCGTGTATTCATATTCGAGACTGCATCAACCATCCTGTTCAGATCAGTGAAAAGGGATATATATGCGTGATCAGGTTAAAGGTTATTGACCTCCGCTGTCTTGTAATATTTAAATATTCATTCCAATTCTTTTAAAAGATAAAAATCAGTGGCCTTCCTTGAATCATGCAAAATTTCATCATCAGCCTCGAGTTCTTGGAGGAAGGCAAATATTTTCTATTTGTACATTTATTTGTTAAATTTATTTCGAAAATCCAATAATAAAATCTTTATCTGCAATAAAATATGATTTGGATAAATGTTCAGTATCTTTCAAATGCTCGAAGGCAAATTCAATCTTATTCTTTAAATACGATTTACGTTTGAATCTCTCTTGTGTTAGTTGGAAGAAATTCCCCATAATGCAAAGAAATAAATCCTTATAGGAAAGAGAATGCAAACGAAATCTGACTATTGATTGTACTGCCGGCGGTTGGTAGACTTTTATTTAATTATTTCTTTCCTTTACATTTGTGAAAATTATTTGGTTTATTTCGGTCAAGGCAAATTACATATTATTCTCCTAGGTCTATTTATTATAACTTTGAAACAAGAAATACACTACGCAGCTTCAACATTTTTTCTTGAATATTTAACAAGAAGTTCTATTTTAGTCCAGAGCAAAACATTTTATATTTGTCTCAATTTTTACAATCACGCAACTTTTGCGTTGTTTATGCCAAGGGCAATTACGTTTTTTTTATGTTACGGTTTGTGCCAAATTGTATTTAAGACATTTAATTCTAACTGTTACTTATTCTTATTTACTTTACCAGCTTGGGTTTAAAATCAATCTACTTTCGACAACTTTTGAATTTTTAAATTTAGTGTTACACCAAATACTATTTAAAGTTAGTTTCAGTTTAAAGATAATTTACTTTCGACAACTTTTGACTTATGTCTAAATTTTCAACAGAAGATTATTAAGTTTTCAACAATTTAAATTTGCATTAAAAATAAATTTTTACTTTTATACTGACCGTATAAATTTCAATACATTGAGCATTAGACTTAATTTAATAGAAACCGTAGTATCAGTGACGACAATTTAATTAACTAATTCGCGCATGGTATAAGAAATACACTGCGAAATACGTTTTGCAAAATATAAGGACAATATAAAAAAGAGACGAATGGTAATGGCAATATTAATCTTTTCTTTATAAGGACACATTTGACATTCATTGAGCGAGCAACTAGTATTATTGTTGGTTGAAATTGATAAAATCTTTCTATTAAAATAATTTCCAGTAAAATAAGTCTAGTAGCTGTTATCGTTCTTTCTAATATTGATGGGGTCCCTTCCAAATCATTTTTTAAGTAGTGTAGAATATCAACATCTTGAAATTATTATGTTATTATTGTCTGTTCGTATGATTTCCGTTTTAGTTGTTTCTGCTGTGATGTGGTTTCCGTTATTTGGTACAGTTTTTTGTTTGTGATTCTGTAGCGCCAGTCCAAAAGGCTTGAAGAGGGATGGTGAAATGAAAGACTATTTGCTCAATGTATAAATTTGATAATTTTATTTATTATTCAGACAAAAAAAGGTGAAAAATATGAATATTCTCTCAGTTCGAAAAACAACTCACACCTTTTTTCAGTGGTTGAAGGGATATTTTTAAATTCTATATAAATGTTACACAAATCGTTCACTCTGCGTGGCTTGGTCAGCAGCAAGGATTTGTTTTCCAGAAATATTTTCTTAGAACAAAAGAAAGTTTGGCTATTATTGATACTTTGTTTCTTCTGAATATTTCTGATGCAGATAAATGGAGAAAATATTTCTTTGTGACTTTTGTGAACTGGAAGACTTAACAATAAACATCAGTTGTCGTGTTTACCACCAGGGTGATTTTTACAAAATTTAAATGTTTTTAAAAATTATATGATTTTAACTTTGTTTAAATTTTTTTTTTTTGTAAAGATTTTTTCAAAAGGGAATTGTGAATACAAACAGTTATTGTTTTTAGCGCAAATATTTGGCGATGATTTATTTCCCGTTTGCTGACAAATAACTTTATTAAAATATTGAACTAACAGATTTAAATTTTTCTATTTAAAAAAGATCTTTCAAATAGAATATTTACATTTTTATTTTTTCAGAAATTTTTTTTTATTCTTAGTTTATTGATAGAAGTAAAGGTTTTCTAAACCATTTTTTTTAATTTCACAAACATTTTTTCTTAATAAATTCTTATTTATGAGTTAAATTAACCCTGTATCTATTGAGAGGATACGAGAAAATATAATTATTGAGAGATTTAGATAAATGGTAAATTGCGAGTGGAATTTGCTATATAATGGGTCGTAATATATTACTGGATTTATGGGTCTTTTCCGAGATAAATAACCAGGATAATAATCTCCAGTTATTTTTAAAAACTTCTATTTCCGTATATCAGTGATAATGTTATTGCATTTTTTTAAAGGTCACATGTATTTTTATAAAGTTTTTAAATTTTGTTTTTTATGTTTGTTTTTGTTTTTTTGCTGAGAAGATTTCGAAATAAATTTGTTGTAATCATTTTAAGTTAATATATCGAAAATATTTATTTTGCCGTATTTTCTAATGATTATGACTTATTATTTTTTAAAGGGAAATTCTCTAGCAACAATTTCTAAGGCTTAAGTTGGGAAGTGATATTTATTGTAATGATGTTTTTTTTCTTTTATTTCCTTCGGTAGGTCGTGTAGGTTGGGGTGACATTAGACTCGTTTTTCATTTTGTAATTTTAAAAGATTTTCATATAATAGTTCCATTCCTACCTTTTAGATCAAATTTTGTGTGTATGGGACAAATCTTAGGTTGAAGAATTCTTATTGTTCGTTGGTGAATAACAACACATGTATATATATATATATATATAAATATATATATATATATATATATATATATATATATATATATATATATATATATATATGTATGTATGTATAAATATATATATACGATATAAGACAATTACGAGAACCGTTAATGTTTTATATTTTTATATTCATGCGCATGACTGTTTATTTTAATTAATTGTTTCTTTTGTTTTATTTATTTATTATGAGTTAATTTAAGTCCTTTGAAGCGTGATGTAGTTGCAGTTAATGTAGTAGGAATTTCTTTTTGTTCACAGTTGGAAATGAACTCTGATCTTTCGTATAGAAGTATCTACCTCAGCTAATCATCTGAATGTTTTTTTGTTTTTTGGGGGTTTTTTTTTATTGATGTTGTTGTTATCTCTCTTGGTTCGTAGTATCTGAGTGTTTAAATTTTAGTTTTCAATTTCACGTTTGGATCGTTCATCATTTTTATTACAATTTTGTGGTAATGTTTGTTTTACCAAAAAAATGTTTAGGGCCATTTCACTGTCTTTTATGTTTTTTTCGCTTTCTATTATGCGGGTTGCACAAGGCATGAAACTGAAAGTTACCATGCAGTATTGATTTCTATGTCCACACTATTTCGGGCTACTAAGGGTCAGATCGAGTAACTCAAGAAATTTCTAAGCAGAACAAAGTGTTCTTTTTGTTCTTGATATGTAATAATTTCAGGCTCTGGCTATCAAATTTTGGTCTGAACTATTAAGAAAAAACATCCCGTATGGTTAATTTTTGAAAGAATATAGCTTTATTCTAACGTCATAACATTAAATACTGACTTAATTTTACTCTTCTCTCTCTTGTTCTTGTAACGGCATTCACCCGGGATGCGTTGAGCCGGCTCCAATTGAATTAACCGCATCGCGCGTCAAGTCCATCCACCCCCGTCGATCGGCAGCAGAATCAACGGCATGATCGAGCCATTCGCGATTCCAGCGTCGGACCCCGAAAACGCGAGGATCGGACATGATTTCCATATCTACTTTGACCGTTGCGAGCCACATCTTGAGTTGACCACCTTGGCTCTTCCTCCAACCAGTGGGTCCGTTTGGCGCCACCAGTTTACCGACGAAATTATCACCAGGCCGCCGCAGCACGTGGCCGCACCACCGGAGTCTCCTGTTAAGCAGAGTTTCTTCCAGGCCCAGAATGTTGCATTTGGCGCGGATGGACGAGTTGGCGATCCGGTCGGAGAGGCGCACACGCAGGATACGGCGGAGGCAGTAGTGATCGAAGATATTAGCTTATGAAGATCCTCTCTGCGCAGTGGCCAGGTCTCACAACCATAGAGAAGAATTGTTCTGACCATGGCTACGTAGATTCGCAACTTCGTGGATCGTCTTATCTCCTGGCGAGACCAAAGTCGTTTTTTAAGACGGACAAAGGCAGCGCTAGCCAAATTTAAACGGGTGGTGATTTCGTCCTTCGCTTGACCAGTGGCTGTAAAATTGGCGCCAAGTTATTTGAAGCTTTCGACCTCTTCCGTAGCTTCACCATCGAGGGTTACAGCCACTCGATCAGGTAGGGGGTAGTTCGCAGAGAGAATTTTCGTCTTGGAAGCGTTAATTTTCATCCCCACCATTTTGGCCATGCGACTGACCACGTCAAGTGCATGCTGGACCTCCGCGTAGGACTCGCTAAGGATTCCAACGTCGTCGGCATAATCGAGATCGGTGATGGAGCAGTCGTGGCCAACTCTGACACCCGCGAGGCCAACCATACTATTCTCCAGGATCCAGTCAATAATGTAGTTGAACAGGATAGGGGAGGGCACACATCCTTGGCGGACGCCCGTTCGGACGACGAATGAATCGGATTCTCCCCCGTAGCACCTCACTCTAGTTCGAGTGTGAGCGTAGTAGGCCTTGATGAGGTTGAGAAGCTTGGACGGGAAGCCATCATGACGCATGATATCCCAGAGGATTCTGCGATCCACCGAGTCGAATGCTGCGGTGAAATCAATGAAGCAAACGACGGTAGATTGCTGATAAGTCCATCGCTGTTCGAGAATTCGCCTGAGGGAAAAAATTTGATCCATGCATCCTCTGCCTCTCCGGAAGCCTGCTTGGTTAGGACGGGTTCGGCGGTCCCGGATATTCTGGAAACGATGCAGTACAATAATTGAGAAAATTTTTGAGGCGACATCGATCAAACTGATGCCTCTATAGTTGCGACAATCGCGATGGTCGCCTTTTTTGTAAAAGGAAAGGAGAATTGCATCGCTTCAGTCTTGAGGTAGTTGCTCAGAACGCCAGACAGTGTCGAGCATTGGGTGTAGGCATCTGGCCATAGAGTTAGGACAGCTCTTGTAGAGTTCCGCCGGAAGACCGTCCTCACCAGCAGCTTTGTAAATTCTTTAGTCTTTTGATGACATCACGTATCTCTTCTTCCGTTGGAGAATCGCAGTTGGCATCATACTCGGGGGCATTTGTTAGGGTGCTAGGGGAACGTTGAGAGGGAGGGTCATGGTTCAGCAAGGTTTCGAAATGCTGCTTCCAACGGATTGTGCGGTCTGCCATCTGGGATATAGGCGTTCCATTCGTGTCCAGCAGCACTTCGCTTAGCCTGCTGTTTCCCTTAGTTGCTGTTTTAAGAGTCTGGTATAGTTTTCGGGAATCACCTACTGATGCCGCTTGCTCCATGACTTCAGCGACGTTTCGCCAGTAAGTATTGAGATCAGCCTTCGCAGAGCGAGCAGTCTCACGGCGCAATCGGCGGAAGTCGTCGTTCTCGGAGCAACGGGTTCGTTTAGTTTGGTTTGCGAGCTCAATAGTGCGGCCAGAGATCCAGTCCTTCGCCCGCCGTCTGGTTTTATCCAGGGTCTGCGAGGCAACTTCGTTTACGCTGCTTTTGAATAACTGCCAGGAGTCCTCAGCTGAGTACTCAATGGGGTTGAAGTGCTTGAAGACCGACAAAGCGATTTGATAACCGGAGCTGGAACTCGGCTCTGGTTTGCTGGCATCTGAGTCGCGAGATATCGTATTTCACAGGGCGGTTAGATGGTAGGTTGGCTCTCATGCGAAGGCGCATTTTTGAACGAACCAAGACATGGTCGGAGCCATGCTCATTGCCTGTTTCGGCTCCCCGGAATGCGCGACATTCCAGGACACTCGAGGCCCACCGTGACCTGACGAGGATATGATCGATTTGGTTCCGAGTGACACCGTCATTCGAGTTCCAAATCACCAGATGCTGCTGAGGGTGCTGGAATCGAGTACTTGACACAGTAAGCCGGTTTGCAGCAGCAAAGTCGATCAGCCGCTCTCTGTTCGAGCAGCATCACCGGTACCAGTTCGCGCAATGAAATCACCCGCAATAACCACAAAGTCTCTAGAAGAAATGCCGTCCATAACAGCCTGGAGGCTGTCGTAGAAGGCGTCCTTGGTGACTTCATCAGCATCAAGAGTTGGGGCATAAACAGCTATTATGGATATGTTGAACAGGGCTCCTCGCAGACGGACACGGGCAAGGAGAGCGTTATTCGCTTGATCGCTTAGGGTCAGTGCTACACCATGGCTCCCGGATCCATCCGTGGCTCCACTGTAATAGAGATGGTAGGCAGCGTCAGATAGAGGTACTGTGATAGACTTGTGACCATGGTCTGCAAGCCTAAACTCCGAGAGACAGGCCACATCGACCTTGTACTGCTGGAGAGCGTGGGCAGTGAGTGCTTGAGTTTCTTCAAGTTTCAGCGTGCGCACGTTCCAACAGGCCACGTGATGGGTCATCTTACATCCAAATAGTCCAGCTCGCTGATTGGACACCCGCAGCGCTGGGACCGCGAGCGCGTCGGTTCCCGCGAGCGCGTCGGTTCCCTCGAGCGCGTCGGTTCCCGCGGACGCCGTAGTAGTAGTGGTATTTCGCAGATTTGGTGTGTTCATTGGAGTTTTATGGGAATTTGGAATTCACAAGCGGTTTTAAGGCGCCGAACATTCGCCTTTCACACCTCCCATGTAGTTTGGGATAGGAGTTTGACTGGCAGAGGTGATCTTGTTGCACACGCCTATTGGACTATTTTGTAGGCCAGCAGGAGCACTTCCCCGCTATCCAGCCTAGGGATACCAGACCTTTTGATGACCAGAGCCCCGTTAGCCGTGCCGTGTCAGACCAATCCGCCATGGTGGCCCTACCAGGAACCGAGGTTCCGACGTCATAGTCCTGACAGGAACACGTTGCCACCGCCCCAACCACGGTGAGGAGGAGTTGGAATTTAGGGAGGTGCTTAGTTTCACTAGTTTATGATCATAACAGTGTCATATGAAAATGTTGTTGAAGCTAGCTCATACAAATTAAAATTAAGTCCATTGAAACTAATAAACCAACTTTCGTTCATTGTTCTAAGAACAACAATTCAGCTAATAAATTTGTACCAAACTATTAAGAATAATCTTCATAACGGTTTTAATTTACTATTTTCAAGGTACAACTTCATAAATTAAAATCCTGACTTCGATAAATTCTGTTCATCCTATTACAGTATATATACAAATTTTAAAGAGTTCAACTCAGGTTCATTGAATTAAGTCCAACCATTTGAAACAAACTGTAATACAAAGCCCGAACAGTAAACATCGTTTACTAAACAGCAGTAAACAACTGAGTCGCATGGGTTAGAATCGGCATTCTGAGTTCAAATTCTGATCTAGGTACTCGAGCAAAAATACACTTGAGAAAGCGATGAATCCATTTTTCTGCCGTTTCTTCTCGGGGCTCTTAAGCGGATAAGAGAAAGATAACAACTTTGCCGCATAAAAAACCTACTTATTACAGAAAACACCGCCTCAACATTAGTGTGATGAGTCTGTAGCCCTAGCGTGATGTATCTGTAGCCTTATACTCTATATCAAATGAGAAGAATTTGTCTCTCTCTTATCTGAATATTAAAATTTAAATCAGTTAATCATCCAAAATTGTCTGATGTTAGGTTGTAAATTCAGATTGATATTTCCAAAAACAAATCTCTGTATATGAAAAAAAGAAAGCCTACAGAAAAATATAATTTAGATTCATTGATTGAATTTTGGTTTCCTCTCAAAGACAGAAAAAGTCGTTTTATGTTTGATTTAAAATAAATACAATCTTTTTGCAAGAGATAAAGAAAAATGGCCAGACTTATCCGAGAAAGTGACAACATTAATTTGAAAAATGCAATACAAATAAATAAATTCAAGGATGGATTTAATTTACATTATTAGTTTTTCATTTTTATAGATATATTTCATCAGCCCAAGTAAGTTCGAGGGGTTTCCACTGATACATACATGGCCGACTATGTCATTTTCCTATGTAGCAGTCAGGCAGACATCATCATTATGAGCTGAATTTACTCGGCTATTATGGTATTGAGCCCTATTTTATCCTTATTATGAAAATCTTTGACAATGGAAAAGTTTTCGTGTGACGCATTTCGTCTATTAGTAAACACACACACACATATATATTCTGTTTATACGTTATTTTTATAGATATAGATATTTAAGTAGATGCTCTGTTTATAATGAACTGAATGTCCGAGAAATTTCATGGAAAATATACGTCCTCCTACAGGAGTCGAACCTGTATCCTACACGGAACTGTCATATAGTCTGACATGCTATACCATTTAGCTACAGAAGAAGCGTCTAGTTAGCAAAGTCAAATTACTGTTTTAAACAACAAATTTCCCATGATTCCTCTCGAAGAGCTTCAAGGGACAGGAAGATGCAGAGGGCTATGATCATCTACATCCTCAAGGGACGCGGTACATAAAAGAAGATATTCATGGATAAAAGCGCTTCATAACAGAGCTAGAACGTATGTAAATATAAAAGTAGACATTATGGTCAACACGGAGCGGCGGCAGTCTATTTCATGCTTCATATATATATATATATATATATATATTCGCGTGTGTGTGTGTTTCGTTAAAGATCACTGACAAGGTACGGTAATTTTTCTTGTATTCGTACAAGTGTTCTCTTTTCTGGATACAGTCTGTAAAAACCGTCCAAAATTTCTGCATACAATATATATATATATATATATATATACACACACACTTACACATACATATACTCCTCACTTTCCCTAATGAGCAAATGATAACACACACCCACAGCAATATACACGCTTACACATATCATACTCACTCACTCCCTAAGAACCAAATAACACACACACTTAACAGAGACGCATCCTCTCTCCAGGATCCAACAAAACTGTCAAACTGACCAGGGGAATTCAGAGCGGCATAGATCCATCCAGCTCTTATCTCAAATAACAACCTAAAAGAGACTGTTTGACCAACACAAGGAATGTTAAAAGATTCATGTTAAAAAGATAAAAAAAATTAAAAAAACAAATGAAAACTACAGACAAAAGTTCATTTACTCCATCAAGACATTCATTTCTGTAGTTTACTGCTACCAGCAAGCAGAAATATTTCTTCTCCTGACGATGGCCATTTTGGTTGAAACTAGTCGAGAAATCTAAATGAAATAATAATAACGAAAGAATATTAATTTACAACCCAATGTGTCTGAATATTTTAATTTTTTAATATTTTTTATTGTTCAATATATATATATATATATATATATATATATATATATACACTGTGAAAAGCAACAATGTTGATGAGACCTACAGACAACTTTCCAGTAGAAAAATCTTGAACAATAAAAAAAGGAAAAAGAAAAAAAGACCAAAAGACAAACAGCTACTTACACAGTAATTTAAAGTGCTCAATGCCTAAAGAGACTAGAGAGAGCAAAAACGAATCTCAACTAAGTACAGCTTGCTACTCAGGTTCACGCTCTCGACTAGAGCAATCAATCGATGAGTAAATATATATATATATCAGACCTAACGATTGCGTCCAGCATGAAACAACCTGTCGCCTCTAAGTGTTGACTTCAATGTCCACTCTTATATTTACACACGCTCTATCTCTGATATTGAGCCCTTTATCCCATAAATATAGCACACCTTAAGAGTATATTTCTTTATATATATATATATATATATATATATATATAATCTTATCACCCCATACTGAGATATAAAGCCACAAAGTTCAATGTTACTGAATGTGAAAGAATAAGAAAAGAGGAATATTATTAAGGAGCGATAACAATAAAAGAAAAGGAATCAAGACAAAACTAGTATCGATTGACATTGCGTTTAATTTTTTGAAGATTAAAGTTGGCTTGAAAGCATGGAATCAGAAGAGTCTTCGACAAGCGAGAAGTTCTAGCAAAGTAACCGTTCGCATAGAACTTACAGTTACATCTTGCCAATTCAGCTATGAATTGATGAGACCTTGCCACCAATCTAGTACTGTACTGTGTAATTTATAAAGTCTCAATACCATAGCGAAGAGTTCATCCGAACAACATGGAAGGATTTATAGAAAAAAGTACAGGGAAGCTACATTAAGATGGTGGGGAAGCGACTGAAGCCGAGACGCCAATAATATTATTAATTCTTCTTTGGATTTTATCAAGAATCTCTAAATATACTGCAAGAGCACCGGATTATATGTGGCAGCAATATTCTAAGCATGAGTGAATAATGGAATTATAAATAAGTAAGACAGAATAAGAGGAGAAAAAGTAAACCAACATTCTTTGTAGCAGATCTAGCAATGGATTCACTATAATTTTTGTTCCATGTCATCCGAGTATGTTATGCTCGTGTGTGTGTGTGCGCGCGAGAATATATGTGTGTGCGCATGCGCGAATGTGTGTATCCATATATTTACAAGATGATACAATAGTGTATGGATGCACCTTCCAAAAACTAGAAGACCATAGCCTAGCAGCTGATCACTCCTCTAACCGAGCTTATAATAGCTCGATGGTGGAAAACTGGCTTCAATACGTCCTGTGAACCAAACGAGTAGCATTCTATCATCAACAAGTAGACTCTAAATTTTCGCCTGTCATGATGAATGGTTGTACTCTTATTGATTTCAATGTCTATTACGACACAAGTTTACCCCAGATCTCAAGTGGAAGTCATATATATGACCCATCGCTAAAGAGGTTGGAAAAATGATCGATTGTTTGTACCAGCCCAGAAATTACATGCCTACTTCAAAAATGGACTAATATTGACATGTCACGACTCGAGCTGCCCAGTATTGGTAGAGTTCAGATGCGTCTGCGCGGCCTTGTGGGCCATGAATTAGTTAACTGTAGAACCCATTCCCGCAAACGAAACACCGCAAGCCTCTCATTGCTCCATAGCTATTTCTATGATAAATAAATTAGTTTCACTAGTTCAAACAAACTATGTCACATACACTGGGACAAAAAATCCCAAAAGAATCTTTAACCTCTTCAAGTCTAAGGCCACCTGGTATCTTTCACAAATATACGTATAATCTACACTTCCCACATCCTCTTACACTCATAAAACAAACTCATTCATTAAGTGGCCGTTGAGAGTGAACCTTAAGTGTCATTGAATGAACACACACACACGCATATATATATATATATATATATATATATATATATATATATATATATATATTGTTGTGGAGTTTTTTTACAGTGGAGGCTTGTATTTTAATAAGTCGTACAAACGTTAGAACTTGGAAAATAATAGTCAATGACGCAGCAAATCTAGTTGTGATGGTTGGTACTTCAAATGTCCGAATCTCGACTGACGCGCTCAACTTTATTTATTGTACTATGTACAAATGTGGCACAAGGCCGAAAAAGGGGTTGGGGAAAAGGACGGTCATCACTTGTCTTAGAATAAAACTTAGCTAGCCACAACCACTGACCCTATCATACTAAACAAATATTCCCATCACCAAAACAACACACCCATCCACACCTTTCTCACCACATCCACCAAAATGCCTCTTTGACTCAATGAAAATCCTAAATTC